GCAGATTTAGGGAAGTCGGTTATGGGGTCACACTCTGACTCCAAACCTACACACACCTACACACACCTCTACACACACACACACACACATTCACATTCCAATGGAAGGAACAAACACCCACTGATGTATAAAATAAAGACCAGGGCAGTCTCAGGGCTGCGAGTCTCTGAGCCCTCACTCTCTCGTGTGAGCGCTCTGGTGACTGCCCTTTCTAGCAAGAAAATCTGTGTGTTTCTCCTCTCTGATTATCTGCTGAAGAAGTGTTTTAGATTACATCTCTTGACATTATGTTGGTCCTTCGAGCCGGATCAGAAAATATCAGAACTGTTATCTGTGACTCTGTTCCAGGATCCAGCACTGATTCCTGACGCCGTCGGAAGCCAGCACCGAAGTCTGTCGACAGCCCTCTTAGACGAGGAGAGAGCCCCAGGACGTGAATTCGGGTCTGGGCCGGTAGCCTGGTCCACGGCGATGGAATTCAGTCTGACGATCCGAACCACCAGTGAGACGTCCGAGGGTGAGAAACACTATTTTGGTATATAAAACCGCCGCAAAGGTTTAAAGTAACAAAATAAAATAGGTTAGGATTCGCCAAAAGGAATCAAATTAAACTTAGGTTTTAGAAGTAGCCGTAATTACTTCGTAACAAATTGTAAAAGCGCACAAATGTCTATGTGTGTGTGTGTCTGGAAGTAAGTTGATTTTACAGCACAATACGCCGCTGAACTACTTCCATTTTATGTTTTCTTTGCAAAGGCTCACGTACTGGTGACAAAGGAGAACGGTTGAGTTTCATCTCATAAAACTGATACCGCTTCACTTTTAGAGTGAAGTCGAAGGCCGAATCAGTAAACCACTCTGAAGTCAAGCGTGCCAGTGACTGCCCAGCAAAATCTTTGAAAATGGGGAATAAACAAGTAAAATTAACACCTGATGAAGAATGGTTAGAAAAACAACAAACCGGAGCAGGTAAAATAAGTGCAAATAGGTGGAGAAATCCACGAAAAGCAAAAAACCGCAGCTGGGAAGGGAAATGCAGTCCCTCAGCTGTCACCCAGCTGAGAGCTGGCCTGAAACAAGAAATTACATTAACAAAAGACCCAAAGAAGAAATTAAAACGTAAGGAAGAGTATAGGCTTTTCCAAGTATGAGAAAATGAAACTGAAAAGAGAACTGAAAACAAAAAAAAGAAAGAGGAAAAGAAAAAAACAATTAGCAGCAGCTTTAATAACCCCTGATGATGAAACTATAAATCAGGCACGTGCTGAACAAAGGCCTCCACTGACAGACCCACATAACTCTCCTTTAAACCCCCCCGTTAAACCTTCCACACTAGCTGCAGAAAACACAACCAGAATTACACCAAAATCTCGTTTTAACCGATCTCCCATATGGAGAAGTGCAATGAAAATTAAATTCGACAATGCATATGAGGATGCACAAACAATGTTAGCCAAGCATGAAACAGATTTTCATCCAGGAAGATCTGATTATGGCTCTGAAGAAGAGTGCGACGGTCGTGGTTCACACCCAGACCAACCACCACCGCCATCTACACTAGCATGTCCATTAGTTGAAGTAGCAAACCCCAGATATGGCACACTTTTAGGTGATGGTCAGGGAGGAGGCAGGGACAACAGACCCACAATTCTTGTGTACCGCCCATGGACACATAAAGACAGACAAAATGTAATAAAAGGCATTCCATCAATACAAGAAGGGTGCGAACCATGGCAAGCTGCCATGCGTGAAGTAATCACCCAGTGGCATCTAAACGGTCACGAGGTACTGCAGTTATTCCAGGACTGCCTAGGCCTCTCCTGGGGAAGAATTAGGGGAGACTTTACCTGCTCCCTACCAGATGGTAGAGCGTTTCCCCCAGGTCATGCTGATCTCCAAGCAGCGTTAATAACTGTGTTTGATACTACCACGCATTAGGTCTCATGTAGAAAAATGTTGGGTAACACATGATACAGGCACAGTAGATGAGGCGCTTCAATACGCTAATCATGCACAAACAGTAGTGAAAAACAAAGAGAAAGCCTCAATTTTTGCCCTAGACACAGACACTGCTCTCACAGCTTTTAGTGGGAGTGGAGGCTACAGGGGAGTTTCCAGAGGTCAAAGGAGAGGGAGAGGAATGTATAGAGGATGAGCAAGAGGCAGAGGGAGACAGAGACACACATACACTGCAGACGGTGACTCCAGTACTGCATGCTGGAAGTGTGGGAAAGAAGGTCACTTTGCACGCCATTGTAAGACACAGAGAACACTTGACACAGAATGACCAGCTGCAACCACTGTGGCTGCAACCACCCAGACAGCTGACATGGAGAGCCACATAGATGAAAAAGAAGTAAAAGCTTTAACAAACGAAGAAAACAATTTAGAACAGGATGAAGCTGAAGTATATAACGTTCATCAGCTAGTAAGTTTACTGGATGGAACACTTACGGTCTATGTAAATGGAAAAAAGTTGCAAGTGTTGTGTGACACAGGAGCTTGTAAAACAGTACTTAAGGCAGAGCCCCTACACGCAACCTTTTATAGAGAAGTAGTAAATGGCCTGTATTTATATAAATGGCCTGTATTTATATAGCGCTTTACTAGTCCCTAAGGACCCAAAGCGCTTTACATATCCAGTCATCCACCCATTCAC